CTAAGTGTAAGACAAAGTGAACGTATCATGCGGTTTATTTACATTTTTGAACAATTGAACTTCTATACTTTTTAAAGTACGATGTGCTTCTGAACATCGCGATCGAACAACATTTAGGTTCGCAAGGTATCTAAATGAATATGAACTGTATTGTTCATGTTCATGTTCAGAAGCTTTATATTGAAGACTGGCACGTGCGCGGCACGCCGGAGTTAACGCCAGAACAGGCGTCTTGTTCAGGGGAAGGAAATTACATTCTGTGACAAACCTCCCTTGCCGCAAAGAATTCGTCAGCGAGTGACCCCCAAAATGCAGGAAATCAAGTCATAGAGACTGAAAATACAAAAAAATTTCTGGGGAATTTTGGTGCTCCAAACCCACACACCACTCCCGCACCTGTAAATTAATTTCTAGTTAGTTGGGACTGTTTGGTTCAGCCCCCCCCCCTCCCACGCACAACACACAATCCACCTAACGACTTCCTAGAAAAGACCTTACTGTTATGAATATCTCTTAATTGATCTTTTTGTTTTCAGCTGTTGTTTCCTTTATTTTCTCGAAGGTAATAATGATTCAGCTAATTTATTCAGCCAATCTGGCAACCCTGGTTCTCGGCGTAATTACATGGATCCAAGGGGATATTTCGCCAAGGTGATATCACACCAGACAACTTTTACACTCATTCACTGCTCGTAATATAAGAACATTAACAACCACAGATATAGAAATGTAGAAAATTCAACAACTGAGTGAAATATGTAATAAAATTGTAAACGGTTTACAAATGACTACAAATCTATACAAATTACAATAAATGCTGGCAATAGCCTATGATTAAATATCAAGCAGATATGTACTTGTGTGTACCAGACACTTTCTAAGTCATAATATCCTATTTTAACACTTGATATTAGTTTGCTTACAGATCAATATAGTTGTGTGTTCGTTTATTAAAGACACCACGCTTTATTAGTTAACAAAGCAAAGCTCTCCCATTCGTATGTCTTATACAAATATTTCATTTTCATAGAAAATATTCACATCAGCTGGGTCTCCACTCGGGGAATTTTTTCGCGCCACGCGAACCGGAATCTAAAAACCTGTGATGTGATTGGTCCGCGAAGAAATTCCCCGCGAAAATGTAGCATCCTTCCTGAATCTTTATCAGTTTGCGCGAATAAATTCTGCAAGTGGAGAACGGGACTTAATGGAATTTAGCGCTTAGGAATTAAAAAGTTTGCGTATTATTTTCTATAAAAATTACTACCAAAATTTTTTTACGAATAATCAGGTCTTACAAATTTCTTAAAATTTTTCTTCTGGGTAAGTTAAGGCTTGTTTCTAACGTCGTTCTTCTTTCAAGTGACGAACGCATTAACACGACGCTTGAAACACGCCTATAAGACATAATTGTTGTGTTGTTTCGTGACCTTCTTTTTTATGAACATCATATGTCTTGATCATAATATTATTCACATTTCAGTCAAGTTTTTACGATTTTCCAGCTCCGCTTCAGACTATAAATCGTTCCCAGCTAAAAAACGAACGTTCCCTAACTACCATAATGAACATCTTAAAACAACACCATCATACGACTGGCATTGGTCACAGTTTTTTAGGACTTGTTTCTTGCAGATGTATTCAAGATATCATCTTTGTTTTGTTTAACAAACTGTAACCCCAGTTAGGGAGGCAAGGGAGTGCTATCACTTGCCCAAGGTGAACTCCCAGACAAACGGAGGGAAGGAGGTGTCTTACTTCTCCATTCTAGACCAGCTCCAAGCAAAGTCTAGCCGCTGCCCAAAAACAATGTTCTTGATGATAGTTTTTCATGTTATTGTTCACTAAATCCATTATGAAATATCCTAACTGAAAAATCAGCTCCAAAACATCTGTCGTTCATAACAAAGTCTTTATCAACTAAGTCTTCTCCTATTGGTTTTCGTCCTCGTGTGAACGAGTTCATTTCAGTAATTTTTAAGAATAAAGACATTCTCATTTAATGGGTATAAACAACCTGCGAGGAAACAAACATTTAAGAAAATATACAGCTTTGTGTAAATCTTCCTAAAAACCTTTTCCGCGAGACAAATTTATTCGAGTTAAAGAAAAAATTAACTACTGCATCTCGCTAAATATCGTCGAACAAAGGAATTTTCTGGAATAGACAGTCGAAGAAACACCATATCACCTTTGTAGTCAGGAAAAGCTAGCACGTCCTCTTTTGGGGAAAGTTTAATTTCTTTGCTTGAATCATCAACCTTCAAGTATCGTTGATAGGAATGGTCGAGAATCGCGCAAGAGTCCATGTCAAAAAATATTACCAGGTTATCATATAAAGTTAATACAATTCCTGTCTTGTGAATACAAAATGACCTAAACGATTGACGAAAATTTAATTCAGACGTTATATCTTGAGATTCACCTGTGTCCAGATCAATTATCTGACTCTTATCAAACAGAAAATCCATGATTACTGCGACTTTGGAATCATTACTGAAACTTACTGCGACTCTGGAGTTATGGAATAATTCATCGCTTAATTCAAATTCATGGTGATAAAAGACTTCATAATCGGTATTTCTTTTCCAAATATAAAATTCATTCAAATCCCAACCAGAGATAAAGGCACCACCAGGCGAGATTTCCACTTCCATCTCAGGCTTAATTCCAGGCAAATTGATCATTCTGTAATGACCATCAACATCTCTGACATCGAGAACTTTCACGGGTTCATTGAATTCGAGATCCAAGCTGACAAAGCCTTCAGAAAAACCAGCCAAAGAATATGGGTGATCTGACAAGTTCTCCTGACTATGAGTAAACAGGATCTTTAAATTATCATCTACCGGGTATCGCGTTAATTTGGGAAGCCAGTGAAATTGACTAATCACAAAGAAAAAATCTTCCGACCACCAGCATAAAAACATTGACCTGCATTGACTGCTTTTAAAACGTTGTTGAACTTGGCTGGTATAGACATTCCATACGTTGATATATCCATCTGAGTTGCAGGATGCAAGTCGAGAGCCGTCAGGAGAAAACGAACTCGAATAAACGGCCGTTGGCTGTAACAGACATGATTGCTCTTGTTTAGGAGCTAATGTCTTAAAGACAATGAGTTTTTTATTATCTGAATAGAGCCACACATCTTGTAAAGCTATCATTTTGATTAACTGAAGGAAAGGGAAGCAACGAGGTCGTTCCAAGCAACAATCGCAGTCAAAGGAATACTTTCATTGTCACTCGAATAACAAAATTCTTCCGAAGAAAAATACACTCCACACCTTGCAGATCCACGGACGCGACATTGTAAAGTTTTTTCTATTATAATAATGCTGACATTCCCTTATTTCTAACTGTTTAGGATTTCGTTTCTCAAATCCCCGCTGAAAACATCGCTCACATTTTCTACTCTTTAACACAACTGGTTTCTCCCTTTCCCCGTGACATAATTTTCGCTTATCAATTCTTTGCAATGTGATGGCGTTCCAAACACAAAACGAATAACCCGGACAAGATTGAGATTTTGAATTTGCAATAATAAATAACCCTGTGACGCTAAAAGAACACCAATCAACACGAAATTCAGCACAAAGCCACGACAACAATTTTTGTTTAGCAACGTCCCATAGTTTAATGGTGTTTGAACCGTCGCTAGTCACCAGTCTTTTGCCGTTAGGGGAAAATGCACAGGTCTTGAACGTCTCTTGATTTCCAGGGAAAAATGGGACTTCCTTTCTTCCAGCAATGTTAAACGCCGTTTCCAGTTTACCAAATAATATGAGCGAATTGTCTGGAGAAAATGTGCAACATGGAATTTTTTCCAATTTTGTTGAATAATTCATAATTTCAACTAAAGTTGGTAGGGATAGCACATGGACAAAATTCCTTCTTACAACTGCGACACTTTTCTCATCGTTAGATAAAGCAAAATCTGTAATATGAGGAAAGTCACTGTGTTTCCAGACTGCTCGCGGCAAAACCGAAACTTCGTAAGAATTCGACTCGACAAAAGGTGAAAGGTTTGATAGTAGCGTCTCCGCGATTTTCTTCTCATCATCGCTGAAATAACCTTCTGGAGAATGTGTAAGAACCGCTTGTAAATACGATTGTAAAAATACTGGCGAATAAACTCGTCCTAGATAATTGTAATATTCATGCAGATTCGCCAGGGCATGTTCCAAAGACTCAAATTCAATGACATGGTAGGAAATGCGGGCGCGTAAATCTTCGTTTTCAATCCAGGAACATTGCAGTAATGTGAGCCAGAAACGTCGCAATACATCTGAAACGTTTACAGTTAACATATAATTTACGATAACAACATCAACTGACCAAAACACACCTTCCTCCATTTCACATTTTTTTAGATGTTTTAAACCATGTTTCAGAGCGTATTTCACGTCATTACTATACTTCAGCTCAAGTCCTGAGCGAACACCTTCCACAATTTCTTTAAAAACCTTTTCGCATAAAAGCCAAAGCGATCTATGTCCATCATCGACCTTGACAGCATACTGGTGATCTTTGTATCCCTTTGCTAAAAGCCAATCAATAACGGATTTATGAAAAACGGTTAACCTGTCATCTGAAACGTAAAACAAGCACGATACGGTTTCATTAATTTTGTTGATGATGACTTTCGTTTCGCGACAATCTGGAGCTAAACCAAAAGTCTTAGCGACGAAAGTGAGGGGAAGAGGTCCTTCGGAAGCAGGCAGCATTTCCAAAATTTTCATCACATCGAACTTTTCATATTTTAAAGTGCATATGTCAAAATTACCATTTTTTCCTCAAAAATCGGCCGTGTCGAGACAATTCGAATGATATATACCTTTTTTAAAACGGATAAATACTTCCAGATTTATTTTACCTCAAACATGTCAAAAAATAGGGTTTTTTGAAACCGGGCCGGGAGAAAAGAGTCTGAGTACGAACAGCAGGCGATGACGTCAAATCGGGAACCGCATAAACTCATATTTCATACAACACGCTGTTTTGCTATATCAAACTGTAGTAATCGCCGGCAAAATGCCTTCTCGCTGCGTTGTATATGGTTGTTCGAATATTCCGGATCCTGCAAATGGTATTATACTTCACAAAATACCTTACGATGGAGATTTAAGGTCAGAAGCTATTAAGAGACGAAAGGTCTGGGTAGATTTCGTGAAGCGCAAACGCGCAAAATGGGAGCCTAGCAGTTCAAGCTGTGTATGCTCTAAGCATTTTAAGGCAGGCGATTTTCAAAGAATATTGAATCTAGCTGGACAACAGGAGACGTATAGACCAGTGCTTAAAAGAGATGACATAGGGATTACATCATTTCCATCGGTATATACTACAAATGAGACCGAAAAACAGCTTTCAGACAGGGCAGCCAGAGCAATCAAACGCAAGGTGAGAAACAATGAAACCTTTGTTTACTCGCAGTACGCACTTCAATACTAACTTATTCTCGCATTTTTTTCAGTTTAGTACAGCTGAGAATGAACCAAGTACCTCGGAAGAACTACAACCAGGTTGTTCATCTGACTTTGTCGAGCCTGAAGCAGAAATGGACCTAGACATGCCAAGTGTCGAATGTCATGTAAGTATAAATTTGCATTTGTTTGCGTCGAAGTCAATTTGAAAGCGTTGAGGCTCTATTAAATTATGTAATAAATGGAATACTTTCACAAGGTAGTTCTGGGGGGATTGGTATTTTTATATCTTTATTAAATGTTGAATTTTTTATAGGACATCCAGCAGTCGGAAACAACAAACGAAAAGTTCACTCAAACAGTGCTTAGTGCGGAAGTGTGCAAATGCTGTCTTGAATTAGAAGAGAGGAACCGACTTCTTCGGAACCAAGTAATAGACGGGAAACAGAAATTAGCAAAAGAAAGGTCTATCGTAATGGATTTAAAATCCAGTAAGTGGTTTCGTATTACTCGTTTTTAGGGCTAATTACATTAGACATTAAAAATTGATAAATACATACAGTCATACACATACAAGCATATATCGTGTTACATGAGCAATTTGTCTTCCAGGCTCAAATGCAAATACAGACTATTAACTTATTAAATACATATAAATACTAGCAGGGTAATCAATATTGCAAGAATTTACGTTATTTTCTTTGTATAAACAGCTGTAATAGTTTAGTTTAGCTACAGTGTTAGCCAAAGCCCAAAGGAAATGGCTTTATTTTCAATAATTAATTTATATATACCCAGTTGAGATTCCACATATTAGTACATACGAAAATGAATATGAATTTATTTTTATGGCTCATCTGAGTGAGTAATACAATTGTATTTGGTACTTGACAGATTTGCAAATTCCAGTGGAGAATGTACCACAATCTAGTGACACTGAAGTAGCTCCAACAGAAGATATCAGTAGTGAGACTAGTGAAGAGTTATTACCAACTGACCCAAATACTGCATCAGATGATACTGATACAACTCAGTGGGATAATTTGACTGAGACAGAGACAGAGGACTCTGATGAAAGTGATGATTATGAACCAAAAAGGTAATAGTTTGTCAAATGAGACACCAAATCTACTACAAAGAACCGTTTACAACTACATAGCCTGGCATCCTATTTATATGTAAGGTTTTAACCATTTATGTATAAAACTATTTCTGAACTTTTAGAGAATATACTAAAGATGACAATCTAAGGACAGAGCCGAAGTTTATCGTATTCTTGTCGCAGCTGATGCTACTTTTTCAGTTCTGCCCATCCTGTAAAAGTGGCAATCCTCTTGTCGAGACCAGTAAGCATGGGACAAAGGTTGTTGTCCACACTTACTGTGGAAATCCCAACTGTAAGCAGAGGAATTCTGTGTGGCACAGTCAACCTAATATGGAGGGAACCAAAATTGCAGCTGGAAATTTTCTTTTAAGTTTTGCGATTTTAGTGGCTGGTGCATCAATCAGTAAAGTTCAGCGTGTCTTTACTCACATGGGTATGGCGTGCATTTCACTGAGCACTTTCTTTAGGCACCAGAAGGTGAGTTCCAAGAACTAACTGGATTCACTATCTAGTTCAATTCTGAACAGTTGACCCTATGTGATATATAAGTGAATAAAATTTTGAACAGACTTGATGAATTAATTTATCTATGAGTGTCAACAAATTAATACAATGTCAAACAACATCTAATAGATTTCAGCAATATTATTTTTTTAAATCAGCCAATATTGCTTTTATTACGCACAATATTACTTTTCTCTTGCATTTTTTGTTGATTTCCATTGTTTTATTTGTAGACACACTTAAGATAAATCCTCATTCCTAATGAATCAATAACAATAATGTCTTGTATGTTTTGTAAACATTTCTAGAATAAACTATTTCCAGCCATTTCATTGCACTGGAAGAAGTACCAAGGGCAGCTGATCAACAAACTGCAAGAAAACAAAGACCCACTGACTATAGCAGGAGATGGAAGGCATGATAGCATGGGACACAGTGCAAAGTATTGTGCTTATACAATATTCTGCTGTACATCCCCATGTATATTGCACTTCTCATTAGTTCAGGTTTGAAAAATATTTATTGATTTCATGCTTTATTTCATAACCTAGTTTACTTTTTTACATCTCAACATTTAATAGAGGAATGAAGCAGGAAGTAGTCAGGCAATGGAGTACCTTGCATTCCAGCATTGTATGGAATATGTGAACAGTTGTGGAATATCATACGACACACTTGTTACTGACCGCCATACATCCATAGCCAAACATATGAGGGAAAAGCTGAAAGAAGTGAAGCATTACTTTGATCTTTGGCACTTGAGGAAAAGTATGTTTTTATATGAATACATCTATTTTCATGTATGTATTAGTATGTGTATGAATGTCCAAAGGGTGGATATACATTACTCAAATATTGTTGTAACAATAAAAAATCTGTGATGTCTTTATTTAAATTTTTAGAAATTGGAAAAGTGCTATCAAAAATTGCAAAGGAGACCGACAGTGAAGAAGTTCAACCCTGGATACGTCCTTGTCAAAACCATCTGTCCTGGAGTGCTACTTCTACTTCGTCTGGTGACGGGAGGGTTATTTTGGCCAAATTCATGTCATTTCTTGGTCATATTGTAAACAAACATGAAAACCTTGATGACCCTATCTTTGACAAGTGCGCTCATGGTGACATTCAAAATCGAGAGTGGCTTAATGAAAGTATGTAATTTTCGTTGGTTTTCCCCTTGATGTTCACCACAGATGTCTTAGCATTGTGAGAACAAAGACCACATGGAATTTGATGTGACCAGATTAAATTCAAAGTAATTAAATGTGATCTTTCTTCATACATATTAGATTCTGTTGTATATGAGAAGGTGCGTAAAGCATTGTCAAACAAGAGGTTAAAGAAAGGAATCCAGAAAGCATCTCCCTTGTCTCAAACAAGCTGCCTTGAGGGGTTCCACTCGGTGCTAAACCAGTTTGCTCCTAAAATGATTGCTTATACCTATCCTGGCATGTATATTAGGTACTAATTAAATCATATAATGCAATACAACTAAATCTTTCTGAGTACCTACATATATAGCAAGTGTACTTTCTAATTAATAAACATGGAAACTTTTTTTATTTAGGCACATAATTGCAGCAATTCACTTTAACTATAACCTTAACAGAAAGGTTGTAAAGAATTCAGATGGTTCAGAACAGCATGTGGTGGTGTACCCAAAATTCAAAAATGGGGAAGCTACTGTCAGAGATGTTAAAGTTGCTGCAAACTTTTGTAAGTCTGTGGGCCTTGTGGTCATATGTCATTAGGCATTTATGACGGTATTCATGATGTAATTAGTTTGCTACTCCTTGAAAATCATTGGTATTGTGAACAACAGTATATCTGGTACTTCACAAGCTTTGTAACAGTTTGTTAGGGCTTTGGATGTATAGATTTCAGATAATTTTATATTAATAATAAACAGATAAATTGGATTCAATGAAAGGGTAAATAATTGTATTCTTATCATTGTTTTAGGCTATGTTCAAGAGATCTATGAAACCTTCCTGGAAGCACAAAGAGAAGGCAACCTCAAGAAAGAACATGATAAATTAAAGAAGATGACCCCTGAACCAATGAATGTCATGCTGAATAAGCAACCACGAGATGAGGCCATCAAGAAGCGAAGTGATAGGAGAGCTATGGTTGTGAAAGAAGTCCCTCCAACAGCAGCAGGTGTGATAAATCAACATATGTATTGTATCATTAGTAAACAAAATTATATTTTTTATTCTAATTTAATGTGTCTCTCAATTATTTAGTATCGCAAGTTGATGAGGCAACCACAACAAGACCAACTCAAAGGGCAAAACCTCATTGCAGTTTGTGCCACCAGCCCATGAAAGGTCATAAAAATGTTTTAGATTGCCCAAGGAACAAACAGACCTCAAACTAATCATTTTAAATAAATATTACAAACTTCAAACATATTGCAGTATCTGTCCACTTTTGTCTCTTTGGGGCCATGCATTACTTACCCCAAGGTGGTCATGACATTCTTGATCATATAACAAAATGTCAAGCCACCTCCACCCCATTCTCCCCTCCCAAACAGAGTCATGCAAAAGCAAGAAATAACTCCATAGTAAAAAATTTAATAAAAAATGAACTTTAATTCATGATAATTGTTTATTAGTCTGATATATCTTCATCAAATCCAGTAAATGCTTCATCATGTGTTAGAAATTTTGTGCGAATTGCATTATATGCACAAGCTGGTAAGGGTATTCGCAGTCGACCCAGTATTCCATAAACAAGCTGAGAAAATTCTCTGTATGCTATTGACCGCAAGTATCTATATCAAAATAACAATAATTATATTAGCATACTAGAATAGATTTTATACAATAGTTCAAAAGTTGCATTTTTGAAATTAAATGTGTGTACTGTAAACTCAAAGACAAACATAACTTTGCCATGCCACATAATACTCATATATATGTGCAAATATAAAAAAAACAAATATAATTTCTCGCAGAATTAAAGTGTAGCTACATGATTTTAGTTAGCCATATTGAGCTGACTGCATGATGAGGAGGGCTTTCAACTGAAAGTAAACAAATTAAACTCACGTTTCTTCTGATCCTTGTTGGCGATATCTTCTACGACTTTTAGTTTTGTATTTTGGTGCAGCCATTCTTAAGGACCATTTCTCCAGGCAATTAATTCGAAATCCTGGGTGATGTAACACACAAGTAGGTGGTGTTTCGACATCTTGGAGCACTTCATCTGAACACAGTGCCTTGGTGCATCTGTCTATTTCCTGGCAACATTGAGCCTCGTACACATTCTGCAGCAAACTTGTGTCACAGTTGTTACACTTGCACCTAAATGAATATTTAAAACAAAATAAAAATACTTAATTTACGTAATTAATCCTGTCGACGTGTGTAGCAAAATTACATATCGAATTGTAAAATTAGGCTTACCAGTCACTTGTTGGAATTGTCCCGTCTAAACGTTCCTCGAGGGTTTCAAATCGAATCCTATCAGTCTCTCTTTCTTCTTCGTACTTCTCGACCCAATCATCATCCGCTATAGGCTCATCCTCGTATGGAACAGCCACTGCCCCAACGCTATTGATAGTGTTGTCTGGCATGTCTGCTTGGCCTTGAGTTGACGGCGAGGTTGACGGCCCTTCGTCTTGCTCTGAAGGCGAGTCAAATTCTTCCACTTCGAGCTCATAGTCCTCAACTACATCCGAATCTGAGTCATATGATGTCGAATTGTCGTCTGAGTAAGATTCAGAAGCAGACATATCCAAAAACAACAGAATTTACAGATTTGTTGTAGCCTTCCTCGTTCGGCGTAGTTCAAAAACAAGCGGAACAACATGTGTGTGAAATATGAGGTTCCCGATTTGACGTCATCGCCTGCTGTTCGTACTCAGACTCTTTTCTCCCGGCCCGGTTTCAAAAAACCCTATTTTTTGACATGTTTGAGGTAAAATAAATCTGGAAGTATTTATCCGTTTTAAAAAAGGTATATATCATTCGAATTGTCTCGACACGGCCGATTTTTGAGGAAAAAATGGTAATTTTGACATATGCACTTTAAGTCGCTAAGCTCGTCTTCAAGGCGTTTAAAATATCGTTCGTAAACAGAATCCAGTCCTTCTGGGAGAAACTCCATAACGTCATTATTTGTTATCTTCTCAAGATCATAGCGAGCCCTTAGCCCAGATTGAAAATGATGTGCATAGAGAAATGAGCCCTGGCATTTGGCAACAAAAATGGAAAGTAAACTAATAGATTTATCCCATCTTAAGCAGCGAAGATATGGATACTCATACAAATCACGGCTCACTTCACTTTGATTTACTTCCCTGCCAACTAAACTTGGAAGACATTTATTAAAATAAAGTTCAAGATCTATGTTATTGTTGGCGTTAACATTCGCAATGTTCGTCTTTTGATCGTCTCTTAGTCTTAGATCAGCCACGGAAATCTCTGGCCTGCTCGTCACCAAGATTTTGATGTACTCTGGAAGATCAGGAAAATATTCAGCAATTAAATGAGTAATTTCATTCTTATTATCAGCAGCACTTTCATCCAAGCCATCGATCACGACTAAACGTGGCTCTTTTATTTCCAATTCAGCTAAGGGATTTTGTAAATATATTTGGAAGGCATCTTTGAGGTTTTGGACTTGATGCGGTCGCTGTAACTGATCAAGAAGCTCATTTTTAAAGCCAGGGACGCTCTTGCACATCTGACTTGCGAGAGACTGCAGCATCACCATAGGATCTTTTAGGTTTGAGTCACTGAAATCACAAAAGTGACAAGCAGCCAGCTTTTCATTCTTCTCAAAATCTTCACAGATTTTAGCGGCAAAAACGCTTTTACCAAATCCTGGTCCAGCTGTTATTAACTTTATTCTTGACTCACTCACACTGTTACAAAACCACTCGTCAACTTTCCTTAACAACCACTCTCTCGTTCCAGGGAGGAAAAATTTTAATTTTCTTTGAATTTTATTCTGAAATTATGTTTGGCAAGTTTTCTCAATACATCTTTACTACTCTCCTTGCAGAATTTTTTTCAGGATTGCCATCCTCGGGTATGATAGCGTACGCTTGAGGGATGTCTGCGGGATCTCATTGTCACTTTTCTTCAACAAAGACTGGCATAGTAGATTTACTCCATCGCGGGTTTCTTCAACGATTTGTGTCATTGTTACAAGCATTTTAATACACTCATCTTCGTGCAGTTTCCAATCTTTAAGCTTTTGCACAGACACTTCTTCTTCAGGCCCAAGAGGACAATTTTTTAAATCGTCGATTTCAATCTGTGAAACGCCCAATTCTACTATCGCCTGGGAAATTTTCTTCCATAAAGAATGAAATGTTGAATTATCAACTCTGGTTGTTGTTACATGTGCAATAACTTCATTTCTGTAACACTTGATTCTTGTGATATCAGGGTTGGTAGATTTTATGAATAAATAAGCCAAATATATTAACATAACATTTGTTTTCTTTGTTTGAAACAAAGGAATCAAAGGGCCGCCAATAACAATGTTTGGCTTATTTATTCAGTAACTTACCAACCCTGTGTGATATTCGCTTGCCCTGATCTATCAGTATCCGGAGGCATTACACTCCATCCTGTTGATGGAAAACCACAAATGTTCCGGAATAGAACTGTAAGTAATGTGACATCAAGGGTTTTGGAATCTTGTGGGTTGCCAGACGGAGGAAACAGTAAATCCCACTGGGATTTATTAATAACTCGAGGTTTTAACTTTTGAAGAGATGTTTTGTTTGCAGCCAATACTCTGGGTAGACTAACAGGTGGATGGATGGTATCAAATGTATTTCTGAAAGCCTCAGTTCCTTTGTCAACTAAAAGTCTACTAAGTCTTGTATAATTTGCTTTTTCTTGTAGTTCGTTAGATGCCATGGCATTAGACACGGTTAGTTACTGTAACGAAATGGTCATATTAATTATATAGGCTACACCAAGAAAAAGAATGGGATAGAGTAGATTTTCACATATTTTATGACATTCTGTCATAAAAGAAAGTCGCAAGGATCTTATTATTAGACGAAGAGATTTCTTATTAAAATAATTTTGTGAAGAGATATTTCTTAGCTTAATTTTAGAATTTCCATAAACATTCCGTTTGTATTATTTGTGTGTGGAAATGAGATTTTTCTTGACATTATAAATTTTGAAAGCCGGTTCTCATTGATAGACATTGTTAGTTTTGAAACACCTACTTGTAGGCAAGTTTAGTCCTAACACCTTGACGCCAAGCTATCTAACGCTTAATATCAAACAGCATGCTCGTAAAATTAAATGCCTGCGGGCAGTAGATTAGAGTAAAATTGCGTGACTCAAGGAAAATCAAGGCACTATTCAACGTGTTACTCCTAGTAAGAGGACATCAAAATTTATGTCGGTGGATTTAGTATAATTTAGAATTTCTATCCACGTTCGTTTGTGTACTTGTCTCGGTTTCACGTTCTACACAAAAGCAATAAAGTCAACGTCGGTGCGCGTGGAAACCAAAGTAAGTACATATTGATCTTTCTTCAGTACTAGTACAATTGATTGTTAGTTAGGTTACTCGTAGTGTGCGTTTTAATTTGGTATTCATAACTGGTCAAATGATTTACCACGTACAGATTTAGACTTAATTCATAGTGTATTCGATAGATTTACTTCTATTCATATAGTCGCATGTTTCTTATGATACTGCGCGAACAATTAGTTATTGTGTTACTATTAAGTACTAGATATTTTTGCATTGTCAAGTTATTTAGTTCGAACCGATTCCCGCGATTAACGATTGCCACAATTCTGTGTCAATTCACGTGCATCAAACCCACGAACGTTTGGATTAAAGTTATAATATTTTACTTGTTCGATTCCCAAATTCTGTCGAGTTCGATTTGTCTGCGCACCGTTCAACCCAAGTGTTATCTCATTGGATATTGCTAAGTTAATCGTTTCGTTCTACTATTGGGATTAACAGACATGGTATGATCTGAATGTATTTTGATGTCAAATAATTTATGAAAATATCTCGTGTATTTAAGATCTACTGCTACTCGACTTTTTCATTTCCGATTGTAAACTGTCGTTCAAGTCTTTTATATAGTCCATTTAGTTTAAACGAAAATTTTGAAAAGCTGTTTCAGCCGACTCTCCATAATTTATTTTTACAAAATAATACTTCATCCCATAAAACACCTGTCTTTTCAGACTAATGGCTGAGCCTCCTCAGCATGTAACCAGTGAAGCTGGATTGTATATTTTCGATTATAGCTGGATTATATTATATCTATACAGGACTCTTAGGCGCTCAGGGAGTCTATTACAATAAAACTGTATTGATCGATCCTTAGTCTCAAAAAAACTAATCTGCCTTATTTGCTGTTTAGTGTTTGATTATTGTCAGGTTTTAGCCCCTGAGCCTCGCAATCGTAATATGAATTATTTCTATATTGGTTACCGGTTCATTTAACATGACGTCACAGCTCTGTATTGTGCCACTCAATAGAATACAATAGACACTCATTATGTTAATATTCGAAGAACGTAACGACGTCACAGTTCTGTACTGTGCCACTCAATAGAATACAATAGACAATCATATTGTTAATATTCGAAGAACGTAATGACGTCACAGCTCTGTACTATGCCACTCAATAGAATACAATAGACACTCATACTGTTAATATTCGAAGAACGTAATGACGTCACAGCTGTGTACTGTGCCAGTCAATAGAATACAATAGACACTCATATTGTTAATATTCGAAGAACGTAATGACGTCACAGCTCTGTACTGTGCCACTCAATAGAATACAATAGACACTCATACTGTTAATATTCGAAGAAAGTAATGACGTCACAGCTCTGTACTATGCCACTCAATAGAATACAATAGAAACTCATATTGTTAATATTCGAAGAACGTAATGACGTCATAGCTCTGTACTATGCCACTCAATAGAATACAATAGACACTCATACTGTTAATATTCGAAGAACGTAATGACGTCACAGCTCTGTACTATGCCACTCAATAGAATACAATAGACACTCATACTGTTAATATTCAAAGAACGTAATGACGTCACAGCTCTGTACTATGCCACTCATTAGAATACAATAGACACTCATACTGTTAATATTCAAAGAACGTAATGACGTCACAGCTCTGTACTATGCCACTCAATAGAATACAATAGACACTCATACTGTTAATATTCGAAGAACGTAATGACCTCACAGCTCTGTACTATGCCACTCATTAGAATACAATAGACACAAACGTACCTTCTCAAATTTTCAAAGCGGTGATTGCACTACATGGTAAAAATTTTCAGGAAGGATAACGGACAGATGGACTGAAATGTAGATTTAAAACCTAGAAAGAACAAATTTTGATTGTAACTTTACCCACCCAATCAGCGGCTAGAATGTCATGTGAGTGTCACGTGGGATGCGTATTTATAATGGTAATTGCAGTAAGTGGAGTGCTGATGCGTCATTACAAAAATCGCACGACCACGAAACCCTCAATTTTGTTTGATAGAATGAATATTATTATTACTATTTACTAAAACAAATCACTTGGCAGCCCTAAAGCTTAAATACCCATGATTTTGCAAATAAATAAAAAGTAGGTATGATTATTAAGAATGTATTCATAATTTATAGCAAACATTTTAAAAACTAGTTTAACTGTGGTTATATAAAAACTAACTATACATTCGGTTCGGTCATAGAATAAAAAACATTTAGAATTAAGAATGATCAAAATTTAGCGAATTTTGATCATTCTTAATTCTAAGATTTGTTATAATATAGTTTTCTTAAATCTGTTGCCGTTGCATCTTGGAATCGTGAAACAGTTTTGATTTTTAAGGTTTTAAGTTTGTGGATGTTTCGGAGATAAATAATATAAAGTGGAAAACCCACTCATCTCTTTATTTTTCGTTCTCCCAAACTCCCACGCGTGTTTCTATAATTGTATACATCACAGAACTTTACTCCCGTATATATATATAACCAACATCATCTGTTTCAGCCTCGTATCATGGCCATTTAAGGAGACAAAACTAAATGAATACCGACATTTTATAATAAGAATAATAACTTCTTATTAATCGAGCGCGAGGTCTTTACCGAGAAATATTGGACCGAGGTCTTTTTGAACAGACCGAGCTCGAATTAAGAGCGAAGTTTGTACAAAAAGATGGAGGTCCGATAATTCTCGGTAAAGACCGAGCAAGCAAGGTTAATAAAAAGCTTATTATAGGGCATAAAGGCATGTATTTGCACTTGAAACAAACAAGAAATACATGAATTCGTATTAGTAGCCTGGTACGCATTTGATAAAAAAACAAAACAAAATATTTCTATTATTGAATTATTTAGTTAACCTAAACGGACAAATGCAGAAACATTTGCAAAACATTATAATAAACCAATCGTCTCCAATTTTGGAAACAGCATACTTAATCAGTTTAATAGCGAGGACAACAATGATCGCGAATGACTTATATATCTTGTATAGATCTGATAATAAACTATTAAGACGGTGTATCAAACACTGAGATGGTTGGGGTTCACTTTCATCTTGCAACTCGCTGACCTTCACATCTTTCAATTCTCATGCTACTCCGTTGTGACGTAGACTGATGACGTATATAATTTGAAAATTAAACGAGACTTAGCTACCTGTAAGTTGAAGTTTGATTTGAATTATATAACGTCATCAGTCCTAAGGAGTAACATCTCCTCCCTTCATTGTGGAGAGTTGTCCCTCCTGATACTTCTTCGTTCCGTGTGAGAATCAGCGAGTTGGTTGTCTTTAAAATATGGCTAAGAAAGCGAGCGCGTGCTTCTCATGTTACTCTTTCGTTCAGGACTGATGACGTTATATAATTCAAATCACACTTGAACTTACAGGTAAGTCTCGTTTAATTTTCAAATTAAATTTTCTCTTGAGCATTTCGATTCCTGCCGGAGGATCGATAGTTGACTCATTTTTCTATCAACTGTTCCTGGCTTGAATTTGAACTGTGTATAATTCCACTCGAAATTAAGACCCTTTAAACCTCTAGAATTTACCTGCATCGAGCGAAGTGACAAAAATCATAATTACTCCGGCGTCAGCGACGGAGTTGAAAATTCGCCTCGGTTTTGTTTTGTTATTGTTTTTTTATTATTTTTCGTCGTCGCAAGTGTGTAATAGCGCGAAATATACTAGTATTTGAAATGGGTATGTGACCCACTGAGATATGACTGTATTTATCTACGTCCCAGTCTTGTCTCCCAAGAGTTGTGGTGCAGCTTTGGCTAATTTGGCGCTGTGTTGCGACAAAACCTTATACGTCTGTGACGACTTCACTGTGCTGATGACATAAAATCATTTATACTCTTCAAAAAACACGACTAACGCTGACATAAACGTACCTTTTCAAATCATAAAAGCTATTATTTCAATACATGGCTAAAATTTCACACAAATATACCAAAATTCGCAGAAGACACTCACGATGTAGATATATTAAAACCAACACGGAAACTGATTGTAATTTAAAACCTCACAAGTCTCAGTAGAGATTTCATTACACGTATTGTTGACAGAACGTCATGAATCAGAATCATACTTTTAAGTGCATCGAAAATGGGAAAATATCCTGGAAAATATCTATGTGGCAAAAAGCGCGTGTACAAGAGCTGTTTTCTGGTTAATACCCTGTATTTACAATAACAGACGGATGATGCGTCTCTATAGTCACACGAGGGTCTTAAACTGTAGTCGTAGTTGTTGCTGCAGGATATGACTCCAATGGCATAGGAGGTCGGTAACATCATATTATTCTGGCGATGAGTTAACAATTTCGGAATGGTATTCCTTATGTTTAAAGAAGCGAGAAATGTGCAATGTATTTCAAGTATCACTATCACACGAGTATACTGACAACGCCACCATTTCAGCATTATGCAGACCAATATTTTGCCATCATGCAGATAGACTAGCAACTACGTTTACGAATTTAAAATCATGTGCGAAAATTTAAAAGCATGTCTCTTTTTATCGCAATGTGGAATCATAAATCAACGAATCATAAATCACATCTCAAACGCCTGAAACCTCACTTTAAGAACATTGAAAGGAAGAAAAAAACGAAATTTGCAATTTTATTTCACCGCGCCACAGACAAAGCGCTGTGTTGTGGCAAGACCTTATACGACTGTGACGACTTCACTGTGTTGATGACATAAAATCATTTATACTCTTCAAAAAACACGACTAACACTGACATAAACGTACCTTTTCAAATCATGAAAGCGATTATCTCAATACATGGGTAAAATTTCACACAAATGTACCAGAATTCACAGAAGATACTCACGATGTAGATATATTAAAACCAAAACGGAAACTGATTGTAATTTAAAACCTCACAAGCACTCAGTCTCAGTAGAGATTTCATCACACGCATTGTTGACAGAACGTCATGAATCATAATTTAAATAAAAATATTATCTTGTGCAGGGATCAGCCGTGACGGTGTTAGGGAAGCTGGAAATTTCTTTATAAACGCGCAATGGCTCGTCTAACTTGGCTGAGAATTTATGTTGTGTTAATACGTAAATGACTGTTCTAATAATTTGTGGTTTGCAGAGAAAATGCCTCTGGTTAATCACACTGAATAAACCAAACTGACCATGGTCATAAATGCAGGGCCAGTCTGTGAAAATATAAACAAATTTAAGTTTATAAGAAATATAATTACTGTCATGAAGACCACCCAACCACCCTAGAGACGACACCTCAGTATTTACTTGCAACATTTCACTTGCAATCTGTAATTCAGGTCTAATAATGTTTCTGTGAAAATTATTGATTTCCAAGGTTACATGAAATGTCATTATGTAAAATACTCAACTAAGCCATAGAGAACTCTGTCATACATTAGCTGGGATTGCATTGGGTCTGATTAAGTTCCAACCTCATGAATGAAAATATTTGCAACTAAAGTATTGCTGAACTGACAGATAATTTATTTCAGTGATTGACAGATATTGTTGTACCAGATGGACTAATCAATGACTGACCAGTGTATTTGTTAAAATACTTTTGGTTGGAACAGATGGTGTAGTCTAAATACATAGTTAACATGATAGCCAGAGGATGACTTTTTATCAATTAGCTGTATACAAGCTGGTATTATACATGAGAAAGAAACCATAACAATAAATGCACATAGTGTAAAATGTGATCGCATGTGGATGTAAGATTAATAGAAGTAGAATACTGTACTCAAAATAAGATTTATAAATTTAGTAAAATATATCTCAGTCTTTTAGTCATGTGATATTGGCGTTGATATAACATATATTGTTTGACCATGATCATGGTGGGTTTTAGCTATAAAACTTAATACCATTCAAAGTTGCATGAAGAGTATATATATGTTATTTACCAGATTGGAGGTCCATATAGGGAAATATTTCCCAAGGTCTCAAAAACAGCCCGAGGCCGAGGGAAATATTTCCCTATATGGACTGACTAAACTGGTAAATAATAGGGTTTTTTGCAGTCGGAATTCATATTTTAGCATTAGCTCTGTGCTTTTAAATCCCTCGCAGTCCATACGGCCTCATACGGACCGCTCGCCGTAGCCAATCAGATTGCAGGAAAGGCTAAAATATGAATTTGGACCGCAAGAAAAAAAAAATTGAATATATTATCCAGTTCCAGGATAGTTTCAAGCAAATCTGTTGCCGAACAATTTTCCTAAGACTAGGTCGAATAAAATGTTTATTTAAAATGGACATGCAAGAAATGAATGAAATGATTTTATTCCCCATGAAAGAGATTTCTGGACTCTGGTCTAAATAAATTAGTGAATGTTTTAAAATTGAATGCCTGTGTTATAAAAACTAGGGGAGAATTATATTGTGAATATTTTTGTTGACTAAGCAATATATATATAAGCAACAATGTGCAATATACTGCGTGAAACACCAATATAAACCAAACCATCCCGTCAAAACATTGTAATTTAAAGCAAAATAGACAAGGCCGCATACGTATATCGCAATATGAGAGAAATCTCACAAGGAATCTAGCACATACCTTCGACAATCTGGTCTTGTCTAGTCTGTATTACCACGACTAGTGCAAAGCCGTAAGTCTTTGTTTTTGTACTTGTCTGCGTCGATAAACCTTGTTAAAATAACTTCAGCTTTCTCAATGAATAAGTTGATCACCCACGACGAATCAGGATCACTTTGAGAGCTTCTAGTCCAAGAATACGATCATTTTGACAAATAACGAACACAGACTTTGAAGAAATACAAAGACTCAAAGAGAAACAGGAACTGGGTGAGGTTTTGGGTGTGGCCACTGAGCTATATGGCCCTGCGAACTGAAGTTACAAAACTGAAACGATATCTCTATCATTTTTTATGTCCCATTATTAAATGATTTGTATATTTTTTAAATTGCTGATAATTGCGGGTAATTGTTCAAAAAATACCGCCTTTAAAAATATTGGGGAGAGCATCGAGAAATTCAGTTAAGATCGAGGCCTTTGGGAATAATTTAAGAAATTACACTTTTTCGGTTAAACCTGCAGTTCTAACTTCTCTTGATAGTGGCGAAAATTAAGTCCGAATGTGAAAAAATTCTTATAATTTACCTTTTTTACTATTTTAAAGACTGCTTTCCACGTACGCGTTTTTTTTCATACGCACGTTACACACGGAAGTCTAAATCATTATACATGTTATCTCTGAAAATATAAATAAATTGAAAGAGTTTTCTGCCAATTTTAACAAATAATAAAAAAATTTTAAAGCATTTTTACGTGGGTTTACGTGCGTATGAAAAACGCTTAAAGCCCCGTTCACACGGTACCGGATTACCATCAGATCAAATTTTGAAGCTAATGAAAGACAGCGGTGTTTTTTAATGTCTGAGGTCTGAATAAATATACCAAATCTATCAAATTAATAATCATTTACTAATAATCGTTGCTTCATAACGGCAAACGAAGATGTCGTGATGAGTGGATCTGGTATCGTGTGACGCAGCTTAAGTGGAAGACAGCCTTAAGAAGCCAGGCAATAAAAAAGTAATTGGAAGCGAACCACATTTTTTCCAATTATTTCGACATTGCTGGAATTCCTTCATGGGAGAAATTACCACAACAGGAAAATTCAAATCTGTCAGAGCCACTGTTGCAGTCTTAAAACATTCCTTGCAATTCGGTGCGGAACAGAAAAACTCAGGAAAACTTTCAAAACATAAAACTATCCACTTCTTCTCTCCCTCTCTCCCTCCGCAATCCCTGGACGATTTTGAATATCTCACGCGTGTGATTTGAGAACGCATTCGCTAAATTCATTACGAAATATCCTAACTGAAAAATTAACTCCAAAACATCTGTCGTTCATAACAAAGTCTTTATCAACTAAGTCTTCTCCTATTGGTTTTTGTCCTCGTGTGAACGTGTTCATATCAGTTATTTTTAAGAACAAAGATATTCGCATTTAATGGGTATAAACAACCTGCGGGGAAACCCAACATATAACAATTAAAATATACAGTTTTGCGTAGATTTTCCTAAAAGCAGTTTAAACCTTTTTCCGCAAGCCAACTTTATTCCGTTTAAAGAAAGGATTGACTACTGCACCTCCCTTAATATCGTCCCACAAAGCAACTGCACTTCGCTTAATATCGTCCAACAAAGGATTTGGTGGAATAGACAGTCGAAGAAACACCATATCACCTTTGTTGTCAGGAAAAGCCAGCACGTCCTCTTTTGGGGAAAGATTAATTGTTTGGCTTGACCTAAAAGTAAGCTCCAAGTATGGTTGATAGGAAGTGTTGAGAATCGCGCAAGAGTCCATGTCATGAAATGCTATCACGTGATCATATAAAGTTAATACAATTCTACTTTTGAGAATACAAAATGACCTCAAATAACTAGCGGACTGGATTGGAATAGTTCTATTTTGAGAATCACCAGTGTCCAGATCAATAATCTGACTCTCATAAAAACTTCTGTACACGAGTATTGCGACTTTGGAATCATTACTAAAAATTACGACATAAGGCAATATATCAGCCCCTCCAGCGTCATGGTGATAAAAGACTTCATACGAAGTTGGTTTTTCGGTATATCTTTTCCAAATATAACATTTATTCTCATTAAAACCAGAGATAAAGGCACCACCGGGCGAGACTTCCACTTTCATCTTAGGCTCAATTCCAGGCAAATTGATCATTACAGGGCCATCAACATCTCTGACATCGAGAACTTTCACGGGTTCATTGTATCCCAGAGCCAAGTTGACAAAGCCTTCAGAAAAAACAACCTTAGAGTCCTCGAAATCTGACCAGGTAGCTAAATTACACAGCGAAACGTCCTGACTGTGAGTAAACGCGATCTCTAATTTGTCATTTACCGGGTATCGCGTTAATTTGAGAATCCTGTTAAACTCACTAATCACAAACAAGAAATCTTCCGACCACCAGCATAAAAACCTTGACCCGTGTTTACTAATTTTGAAACGTTGTTCAACTTGGCTGGTATAGACATTCCATATGTTGATATATTTATATGAGTTGCAGGATGCAAGTCGAGAGCCGTCAGGAGAAAACGAACTCGAATAAACTTTCGTTACCTGTGACAGACAGGATTGCTCTTGTTTAGGAGCTAATGTCTTAAAGACAATTAGTTTTTCATGATCCGAATAGAGCCACACATTATCTCTTAAAAGTGTCATTTTGAGTTCATCAGCAAATTTCTGTCGAGGATCTGTAGCAAGATAGTTCCAAGCAACAATCGCAGTCAAAGGAATACTTTCTGTGACACTCGAATAACAATATTCCGAAGAAAAAATATACTCCACACCGTTGCAGATCCACGGACACCAAATCGTTTTCTTAGTCCAACTTTTCCTTATTTCTAAGTGTTTAGAATTTGGTTCCTCAAATCCCAGCTGAAAACATCGTTCACATTTCCTTCTCTTTAACACATCTGGTTTCTCCCTCTCCCCGTGAGATAACTTTCGCATATCACTTCTTTGCAATGTGATGGCGTTCCAAACACAAAACGAATAACTCAGATCAAATAGAGAATGTGAATTTCCAATAATAAATGACCCAGTGACGCTATAAGAACACCATTCAAGACCACACGACATCCAGCACAAAGCGACGACAGGAATTTTTGTTTAGCAACGTCCCATAGTTTAATGGTGTTTGAACCGTCGCTAGTCACCAGTCTTTTGCCGTTAGGGGAAAATGCACAGGACAGGAACGTCTCTTCATTTCCAGGGAAAAATGGAACTTCCTTTCTTCCAGCAATGTTAAACGCCGTTTCCAGTTTACCAAATAATATGAGCGAATCGTCTCGAGAAAATGTACAGCATGAAATTCTTTTCAATGTTGTTGAATAACTCATAATTTCAACTAAAGTTGGTACGGATAGCACATGGATAAAATTCTTTATTGCAACTGCTACACTTTTCTCATTGTTAGATAAACCAACAGCTGTAATATGATCAAAGTCACTGCGTTCCCAGACTGCTCGCGGCAAAACAGAAACTTCGTAAGAATTCGACTCGACAAAAGGTGAAAAGTTTGATAGTAGCGTCTGCGTGATTTTCTTCTCATCATCGCTGAAATAACCTTTTGGAGAATGTGCAAGAACCGCTTGTAAATACGATTGTGAAAATACTGCCGAATAAACTTGTTTTGAATAGTTGTAATATTCCCTCAGGGGTTCCGGGGCAGGTCCCAAAAACTCAAATTGAATGACATGGTACGAAATGCGGGCGCGTAACTCTTCGTTTTTAATCCAGGAACATGTGAGCCAGAAACGCTGCAAATCATGTAAATTGATTACACAGTTATCATATAAAATACAATAATAACATCAACTGACCAAAACACACCTTCCTCCATCTCACACTTTTCTAGATGTTTTAAACCATGTTTGAGAGCGTATTCCACGTCATTAGTAAACTTCACCTCAAGTCGTGAGCGAACACTTTCCACAATTTCTTTAAAAACCTTTTCACATAAAAGCCAAAGCGATCTATGTCCATCATCGACCTTGACAGTATACTGGTGATCTTTTGACCCTTTGCTAGAAGCCAATCAATAAAGGATTTATGAAAAACGGTTAACATGTCATCTGAGACATACAACAAGCACGATATGGTTTCATTAATTTTGTTGATGATGTCTTTCGTTTCGCGACAATCTGGAGCTAAACCAAAAGCCTGAGCGACGAAAGTGAGGGGAAGAGGTCCTTCGGAAGCAACCAGCATTTCCAAAATTTTCAACACGTCAAACTTTTCATGTTTTAAGTCGCTAAGCTCGTCTTCAAGACGTTTAAAATATCGTTCGTAAACAGAATTCAGTCCTTCTGGGAGAAACTCCATGACGTCATTATTTGTTATCTTTTCAAGATCATAGCGAGCCCTTAGCCCAGATTGAAAGTGATATGCATAGAGAAATGAGCCCTGGCATTTGGCAACAAAAATGGAAAGTAAATGTAATGGACGATCCTCAGAGAATTCATCGCTCATCTCACTTTGTGCCACTTCCCTGGCGACTAAACTTGGTAAAAATTCTTTAAAATAAAGTTCAAGATCTGAGTTATTGTTGTCATCAACATTGGCAATGTCTGTCTTTTGCTCGTCTCTCTCTGATCAGTAACGGAAATCTCTGGCCTGCTCGTCACCAAGATTTTGATGTACTCAGGAAGATCAGGAAAATATACAGCAACCAAATGCATAATTTCATTCTTATTATCAGCAGCACTTTCATCCAAGCCATCAATGACGATTAAACGTGGCTCTTTTATTTGCAATTCATCTAAGGGATTTTCCAAATATATTTGGAAGGCATCTTTGAGGTTTTAGACTTGATGAGGTTGCTTTAACTGATCAAGAAGCTTCTCTTTAAAACCAGGGACATTCTCACACATCTGACTTGCGAGAGACTGCAGCATTACCATAGGATCTCTTAGGTTTGGATCACTGAAATCACAAAAGTGACAGGCAGCGAGCTTTCCTTTCTTCTCAAAATCTTCACATATTTTAGCGGCAAAAACGCTTTTACCAAATCCTGGTCCAGCTGTTATTAACTTCATTCTCGAATCGCTGTCACACTTTTGAAACCACTCGTTAATTTCCTCTAACAACCACTCTCTGGTTCCAGGAAGGAAAAAATTCACTTTTCTTCTAATTTTACCCCTAAAATTATGCTTAGCAAGTTTTCGCAATAAATCTTCATCACTTTCCATGCGGGATTTTTTTTGAGAATTGCTGTCCCCGGGTATTGACAGCGGACGCATTTGATTTACTGAATCGCGCGTTTCATTTACTCCATCGCGGGTTTCATTTACTGCATCGCGCGTTTCATTTACTGCATCGCGCGTCTCTTCAGTGACTTGTGTTACATTATTTACACCAGCTTCAATTACTTTAAGCAATTTAATACACTCATCTTCGTGCAGTTTCCAATCTTTAAGCTTTTGCACATACACTTCTTCTTCAGGCCCAAGAGGACATTTTTTTAAATCGTCCACATCACTCTGTGAAACGCCCAATTCTACTATCACCTGGGAGATTTTCTTCCATAAAAATTGAAATGTTGAATTGTCAACTCGAGTTGTTGTTACATGTGCAATAACTTCATTTCTGTAACACTTGATTCTTGTGATATTCGCTTGCTCTGATCTATCAGTATCCGGAGGCATTACACTCCATCCTGTTGATGGAAAACCACAAATGTTCCGGAATAGAACTGTAAGTAACGTGACATCAAAGGTTTTGGAGTCTGGTGGGTTGCCAGACGAAGGAAACAGTAAATCCCACTGGGAATTATTAATAACTCGAGGTTTTAACTTTTGAAGAGATGTTTTGTTTGCAGCCAGTAGTCTGGGTAGACTAACAAGTGGATGGATTTTATCAAATTTATTTCTTAAGGCCTGAGTTCCTTTGTCAACTAGAAGTCTACTGAGTCTTGTAAAATTTGCTTTTTCTTGCAGATCGACAGAAGCCATGGCATTAGAGAGGGTTATTTACTGTAAAAAAATGGTTATATTAATTATATAAGCTACACCAAGAAAAAGAATGGGATGGAGTAGATTTTGCATATTTTATGACATTCTGTCATAAAAGAAAGTCGCAAGGATCTTGTTAAACGAAGGGATTTCTTGTTAAAATAATTTTGTGAAAAGATATTTGTTTCAGGAGTAACCTTTCTGACTTGCTACCACCCATATGACAAACTCACATGAGCTTAATTTTAGAATTCCGTTTGTATTATTTGTGTGTGGAAATGGTTTTTTTCTTGATATTATAAATTTTGAAAGCATGTTCTCATTTATAGACATGGTATGATCTGAATGTATTTTGATGTCAAATAATTTATGAAAATATCTCGTGTATTTAAGATCTATTGCTACTCGACTTTTTCATTTCCGATTGTAAACTATCGTTCTTTAGTCTTTCATAAATTCCATTTAGTTCAAGCGATAATTTTGAAATATAAGGATCGAGTCTACTAAAATAAAACTGTATTGATCGATCCTTAGTCTAAGAAAAACTAATGTGCCTTATTTGCTGTTTAGTGTTTGATTATTTGCAGGCAATTTTAATTCTCAGATCTAAGCCCCGAGCCTCGCAATGAGCCTCGTGTTATGAATTATTTCTATATTGTTTACCAGTTCATTTAACATGACGTCACAGCTGTGTACTGTGCCACTCAATAGAATACAATAGACACTCATACTGTTAATATTCGAAGAACGTAATGACGTCACAGTTCTGTACTGTGCCACTCAATAGAATACAATAGACACTCATACTGTTAATATTCGAAGAACGTAATGATGTCACAGCTCTGTACTATGCCACTCAATAGAATACAATAGACACTCATACTGTTAATATTCGAAGAACGTAATGACGTCACAGCTCTGTACTGTAGCACTCAATAGAATACAATAGACACTCATACTGTTAATATTCGAAGAATGTAATGACGTCACAGCTCTGTACTATGCCACTCAATAGAATACAATACAATAGACACTCATACTGTTAACATTCCAAGAACGTAATGACGTCACAACTATGTACTATGCCACTCAATAGAATACAATAGACACTCATACTGTTAATATTCGAAGAACGTAATGACGTCACAGCTCTGTACTGTGCCACTCAATAGAATACAATAGACACTCATACTGTTAATATTCGAAGAACGTAATGACGTCACAACTATGTACTATGCCACTCAATAGAATACAATAGACACTCATACTGTTAATATTCGAAGAACGTAATGACGTCACAACTATGTACTATGCCACTCAATAGAATACAATAGACACTCATACTGTTAATATTCAAAGAACGTAATGACGTCACAGCTCTGTACTATGCCACTCAATAGAATACAATAGACACTCATACTGTTAATATTCGAAGAACGTAATGACGTCACAACTATGTACTATGCCACTCAATAGAATACAATAGACACTCATACTCTTAATATTCGAAGAACGTAATGACGTCACAGCTCTGTACTATGCCACTCAATAGAATACAGTAGACACTCTAACTGTTAATATTCGAAGAACGTAATGACGTCACAGCTCTGTACTGTGTCACTCAATAGACTACAATAGACACTCATACTGTTATTATTCGAAGAACGTAATGACGTCACAGCTCTGTACTATGCCACTCAATAGAATACAATAGACACTCATACTGTTATTATTCGAAGAACGTAATGACGTCACAGCTCTGTACTATGCCACTCAATAGAATACAATAGACACTCATACTGTTAATATTCGAAGAACGTAATGACGTCACAGCTCTGTACTGTGCCACTCAATAGAAAACAAAAGACACTCATACTGTTAATATTCGAAGAACGTAATGACGTCACAGCTCTGTACTATGCCACTCAATAGAATACAATAGACACTCATGCTGTTAATATTCGAAGAACGTAATGACGTCACAGCTCTGTACTATGCCACTCAATAGAATACAATAGACACTCATACTGTTAATATTCGAAGAACGTAATGACGTCACAGCTCTGTACTGTGCCACTCAATAGAATACAATAGACACTCGTACTGTTAATATTCAAAGAACGTAATGACTTCACAACTCTGTATTGTGCCACTCAATAGAATACAATAGACACTCGATCATACTGTTAATATTCGAAGAACGTAACCAACACTGACACAAACGTACCTTCTCAAATCTTCAAAGCAATGATTCCACTACATGGTCAAAATTCTCAGGAAGGATAAAGGACAGATGGACTGAAATGTAGATTTAAAACCTAGAAACAACGAATTATGATTGTAACTTTAACCCACCCAATCAGCGGCTAGAATATCATGTGAGTGTCACGTGGGATGCGTATTTATAATGGTAATTGCACTAAGTGGAGTGCTGATGCGTCATTACAAAAATCGCACGACTACGAAGCGGGAGACGATATTTATATGGCTATCTTTAAAACCAGGAACGGGGAATCGAGGAAGGGAACGAGGAAGGGAACGGGGAATGATAAAACCAGGAATGCGAAAAGCCGGAATCTTTAAAACCAGGAATGCGAAAAGCCGGAATCTTTAAAACAAGGAATGGGAAAAGCCGGAATCTTTAAAACCAGGAATAGGAAAAGCCGGAATCTTTAAACAAGGAATGCGAAAAGCCGGAATCTTTAAAACAAGGAATGAGAAAAGCCGGAATCTTTAAAACAAGGAATGCGAAAAGCCGGAATCTTTAAAACAAGGAATGCGAAAAGCCGGAATCTTTAAAACAAGGAATGGGAAAAGCCGGAATCTTTAAAACCAGGAATAGGAAAAGCCGGAATCTTTAAAACAAGGAATGCGAAAAGCCGGAATCTTTAAAACAAGGAATGAGAAAAGCCGGAATCTTTAAAACCAGGAATGCGAAAAGCCGGAATCTTTAAAACAAGGAATGCGAAAAGCTGGAATCTTTAAAAACAGGAATGAGAAAAGCCGGAATCTTTAAAACCAGGAATGGGAAAAGCCGGAATCTTTAAAAACAGGAATGAGAAAAGCCGGAATCTTTAAAACCAGGAATGAGAAAAGCCGGAATCTTACGGCCGGAAGTTTGTAACTAAATTAGTTACAATTTCCGCGCGTAATACAAATATGCTAATTTGACATGGCTATATTTTCCGTATTTTACCAAATTTCGCAGCCAAACTTAGCATTTCCACTAATTCAAGTACGCTCAATTCTTTTATCTGTTATGGAACATAAACTGCATTCTTTTGTGGGAGAAGGAATGGATAATACATATATAATTACACAAACGATGAAACGAACACAAGGACTGACAAGGTTAGTTGTAAACAGTTAAATTTGTTGATTTGGTCTCATTCATAAACCTACAAAGTGGAGCTTTGCGCGTTGCTATCTACCGTTTAATATCTACATTGCTATTGAAATTGAATAATGTTTGGTTGGAAATGAAACTTTTGGATCCAAATTTGAATTTCCAGATTTTCATATGAATTGCATACTGCATGATATAAAATATGCAAGAAACTTCACTAAATACACAATATATTTTACCTTTTCTATATTCAGTACATTGTATTTACAGCTACTTAATATATCAGTATAAATCTATGCGAACAACAATTTTGCTCCATTTAATATATACATACTAAGCTTATTTTGCAATATATATTTGTCATAGTTCATGGTAACAGCTTTTCATTATTGAATCAGATTACCCCTGAACAATGCACTACACTTTTGTTCCCAAATATAACATGATTTTGCTTGTAAGTAAAGTTGTATAGAAAATAAAAATATTTTAGTGCATTTGTACCTTAATTAACTCAGATTATAATTAAACAGTTACCATTCTCACCCATGGTTTTAATGACTGGAGGCAGATTAAAAATATACAATAATCTGTAAGTAACTAATTGCAATCAATTAAATCTTTGGCTCTTTGAGAACAACTTTATGTTGGGATGGAATTTTGGAATATACCCTAGGTCTTGTTTAGAAGAGTATAATTTCCAACCAGCATTTACTTTTACAAATAATTTATTCAAATAAAAATGCTTTAGAAATTGTGTAGGGAAAACATAGCTGTGGTTTTCTAGGCTAGCATGATTCAATATGAAAAGCTTTTACTATGAACTATGACTATACAGGGTGTCTCAAAAAAAAACGCAACCAGTTAAATATGCAATAATATTGTTCGGGTTTGCACCATAGTTCAGCTAAAATGACGTTTAGCATTTTTTTAGCATTTTAAATGAAGGATTAAGAGCCATTTTCAATTCCCAGAGGTGCACTTTAGAGCTGTATTAATGTTCTTGCATATTTAAGCGGTTGTGTTTTTTTTGAGACACCCGGTATAGTGCAAAATAATGTATTAAGTGCAGCAAAATTAATTGTTGTTTGCATATATAATTATACATGTATTATATATTCCTCCAATCCTTCCTCCACAAAATAATTCAGTTTATGTTCCATATAACAGATAAAGAATTGAGATATGTCGTTTAATTTTGGAATATTACCAGTACATTGTATTTGCTGCTACTTAATATAAATCTACTCTACATGAAAACAACAATAGGATATATACCAAAATTCCATCCCAACACAAAGTTGCTCTCAAATAGCCAAGATTTTAATTGATTGCAACTGTTAGTTACTTACAGATTATTATTGTATATTTTTAATCTGCCTCCAGTCATTAAAACCTTGGGTGAGAATAGTAACTGTTTAATTATAATCTGAGTCAATTAAGGTACCAAATGCACTAAAATATTTTTATTTTCTATACAATTTTACTTACAAGCAAAATCATGTTATATTTGGGACAACAAAAGTGTAGTGCATTGTTCAAAAAGTGTAGTGCATTGTTCAGGGGTAATCTGATCCAATAATGAAAAGCTGTTACCATGAACTATGACAAATATATATTGCAAAATAAGCTTAGTATGTATATATTAAATGGAGCA